TATCTATCTATCTATCTATCTATCTATCTATCTATCTATCTATCTATCATCTATCTATGTATCTATGTATCTATCATCTATCTATCTATCAATCATCTATGTATGTATCATCTATTATCTATCTATCTATTTATCTATCTATCTTGATCCTTTAAATGTTTATAACCTTTAACTTACCAGTCTCTCCTCTTCGACTTTGTCCTAAAGAAATAATTTTGAAAAGTCAGATGAGCCTTTTTGGGCCCTGCCGGATGCTGAACCCAGCATTATTTAAAATAATGAAAAGCTGGAAATATCCTAAAGGTCTCAAAATTACCAAAAGGTTAATTGCAGTACATCCACCTGATGTAATGTTAGGTGGCAATCAAAAAGATATTTATAAGACTATCTAATGGCATGGAAATGTGCTCATGATACGATGCTAAGTGAAAAAACAGAATGCCATTTCGATGATATGTTATGATTTGAGTTTTATCTAATAGATCTTTGACGGGAATTAATTTCACTAACCTGTTAATAGAGGTTGGCTATAGCTGGTAGCAATATGGATTTATTATATTCTCTGATTTCTACTTTCTTCTGTGTGTTCCAAATTTTTTACAGTATGCATGTACTAGTGTGATAATCAAGACGAAAGTTTAGTAAAAACAATGTATTCCTTCTATCAGCTTTCAGTACACAGATAAAATAGTAAAAAGACAGAGAGAGGGTTAGACCATCTCCTCCTGACTTTGTTCAGAAGTGAAATCACCTCCACCTACTAGGCACACCAAGCCTCACACAGTTACACACCTTTCCTGCAGCACCGCATCTCCCACCTCCCACCCCAGGGGAGCACAGCACGGCTTGAGACTGTGGCTGGAGGAATGTCCCTCCTGCATGTGTGATCCCTGAATCTCTCTCATAGGCTCCATCGCAAGGTAACACTCTTGGGCTGGTTTTGTGAGCAGTAAAAGCTACGGTAAGGTGATGAGGACCAATGGTCATGGACATAGTGTCCAATGTGTGGGACTCAAATGCAATTCAAATGCAATTCTGGGGTGCATATGCATTCGAGCTGGTCACTGCAACCAGACCTCGGCCTGTGCCCAGGCTTCTGTTATGATCTCCAGAGGAGCTCACATTCTTTTCCAAATGCTAGCTTCCTCCTCTGGGACAGAGAAGCTCTTTTCTTCTCATTACCTCAAACCCTGCTTATTCTAGGACATGAGTTTTATAGAATTAAAACCCTCTTATCTAATGGTCTCCACTTTAGTAAATGCATTCACAAATTGATAAAGATTTATCAAAAGACTGATTCATTCATTTACTCATTTGACCAAGGTCTACCTCAAGGGATTTTTGTAAGAATTAAGTGATATCATGTAAGTAAAGCTTCTAGTTCAATGCCTGACACGTTGTAAATTTAAACTTTCATTAAGTTCTTATTTCATTCCAGATGCTGGGAGACACAAAATAAACTAAAAAGTGTTTGTTGACATGGAAGGAGGTAGATTTACTCCCATTCTAGAAATGAGAAACAGGGATTTAGAGAAGTTCTGTAACTAGCCCAAACCCACACAGATAATGAAGGACTGAAGGAGGAGTCAAACTTGGGTCTTTTGCTGGCCAGAGCCCATGCTCTTTCCATCCCTCTTCTCTACTTCGCAAGCCAGGGTTTTCCTGTATGGGTGGAAGGAAAATGATAGTACTCTTCAGCAGACTTCTTCATGTAGCCCAAAGGGCTGTCAATGTATCTGAAAACACCTCTAGTAGCTAAGTCAGTTAGCTGATCCCCCTTTCTCAGCTACTATTTTTATGGATATAAGAAGCGCAGGGACCATGACTAGGGATAAAGTAATGTTTCTGCTTGGGTTATAGCACCATCATGTGGCTCTTTCCTTTCCACATGATAGTGGCTGCAGAATGTGGGAGTAGTCTTCCTTGTGCTCGCGAGGTTTTATGCTGCTGCTACGATTTCCCTGGGAGAGAGTCTGTTTTGCAAATATCCCATTCAGCGATTCCCCAGACTTTTCAGTGATTGTATGTGGGTTTTGAAAAAGCCCAAGAAGCCACGGACTTTTAAGACATTGATGGGGGCTTTCTCCAAAACCCCAAATAGTGTCAAAAATTTTTAAAGTACATATTTAAAAATAAGTGCATAAAACTCTTGATTAATAAAACTAAACTTGCATTGGCCACTTTCCTGATGTAAAATAGAGCTTTTTACAAGGCTGATGTGGCATTTAGGGGAGACACTGGGGAGAACGCTGAGGAAGCAGATGGGCTCTCCTTCTTCCAGTCACAAAACAGCGGGTCTTTTCCATGCAAAGAGTTGGTGGTATTCTGAACCTCAGCAAGTCCAAAGTAGAACAGAAAATGGGAATTGGTTCCCTGTAACTAAAATGTCCCATCTTTATTCCCTAAATGAGAAAAAAAATGGTGTTTTGGAACAGCACCCAAGCAGAACTTCCGTTTTGATTTGAGTATAATCTTGAGTGAGTAAAATCAGCAGAAAGTGTATCTAACTTATCTGAGCCCCTCCAGTTCCTGGATTGGGTTCTTGTACATAAAGCTTCTTGGCAAAGGATCATTGGGTGAGAGGTGTGATATGACCGAGTAAGGGGGATGATCTTTAGTGCCAGTTCAGTGGATGTCCTTGGGCAAATTCCTTCACCTCTCTGGGTCTCAGTTTGTAAAACAAAGGAAATCAACCAGGGACCACAAAGATCTTTTCCAACTTGACTTTCTAGGGTTCTAAGGAATGAGAAGGGGGTCATGTAGATCCTGGTTCCTTGATTTCTCCTTAGTGCTTAGAAAGCACTGGACATGCTATGAAATGATTGTACAATTCTTAGTTCTTTTTTTTTTTTTGAGACAGAGTCTCGCTCTGTCGCCCAGGCTGTAGTGCAGTGGCCGGATCTCAGTTCACTGCAAGCTCCACCTCCCGGGTTTACGCCATTCTCCGGCCTCAGCCTCCTTAGTAGCTGGGACTACAGGTGCCCACCACCTTGCCCGGCTAGTTTTTTTTTTTTTTTTTTTTTTTTTTTGTATTTTTTAGTAGAGACGGGGTTTCACCGTGTTAGCCAGGATGGTCTCAATCTCCTGACGTTGTGATCCACCCGTCTCGGCCTCCCAAAATGCTGGGATTACAGGCTTGAGCCACCACACCCGGCCCAATTCTTAGTTCTTGAGTTTCAGAAATGGGGGCTCAACTTTAGTCCTGAATTGCAGAGCTATGAAATGAAGATATTATAGGCAACTTGGTCAACTAGAGGCTCACCCAGCTGCACTTGCTGCTCTGCTCCTCTCTATGGAATAGTGTGAAAGAAGTGTAATCTTTGAGATCTGTAATCTCAAAGTAGTGTTGTCACACCACCAGTGTGACTAGTAAACGCTTAATGTCACCATTTGTGCTTCTACTAGTTTTACTAGCTTCTACTAGCTTCTACTAGTTTTTGTGCTTCTTCCCTACCTCATGTATGGAAGTGAGTTCACTTGGTAAATAGGTAGAGAATGCAGTAACTGGGTCAGATGAAGGTATATATAACCATCAATTTCACATTAAGCCTTTACACATATGCCCTACTCTGATCAAATGGGAGATTTGCCTAACACACCCAGAACTTTCTTTCATTTGTGTTTTTAATCAAGCTGTTCTCCAAGCCATAAACTCTCTCTAGGTCTTTCCACCTGCTCTTTATTCTCAAGAATGGGACATCAAAATCTCATGCATTCTTCAGGGACAAGTCAACACCTTCCAAGGTTTCTTCCCACTGGCCTAACTCTTACATGTGAGATATTACAAAGTGCAATATTTTTGGTGTCAGAGACAAATCCTCACTCCTCCTTTTGCTCCTTAGGGTCAGAACCTCAGTTTTCCATCTGTGTAAATTGGGATAAAAATATTTACCTTATCTGGTTGTTTTGATTGTTAAATAAGATACACTCATGCAAGCCACCCCCACAACAGGTCAGTATTTTTTCCTCTCTCCCTTCTTTCTTTCCTCTCACCCTTCCTTCCCCAATTCTCTTAGCATTTTTAAACCTAATTTGTTGAAAAGACAGAATTCTTCTTTGAAGTTTGTGGCCCTTTGCCTGGTTGAGTATAAGGTTCTTGCAGGCAGATATTGTGTCTGTGTGCCCTCACAGCAGTATTTTTAATGTAGTAATAATGTAGTAAATGTCTGCCAAATGAATATATTTCAGGCAGTAATGGATACAAGATAATGTGAATAGAGAGGACTTGGGGGCTGGTCTAGAATGCATGGCACATCTGTTGGGCAGTCTGGAGCAGAAGCCAAAGCGATATGTTGATATTAACGTGAAGCCCAATGTTCCTGAATGGCAAGAGATTTCTGAACTCCAGCTTGTTGACTTACAGAGTCATCCATCCCCAGAAGGACCAGCAATGGGATGGTGGTCATCCCTCCATGGACCCATTCCTGTAGAGACACAAAGCCATCCCGGTCGTAGTCCATCCCTTGCAGCATCTCCTTCAATATCTGTGGAATCCAAAGGGCAATCATTGTCCATTTTCATCATCAACCTGTCTACCTGCCTTCTGCCTCTGCTGTCTTGTTGGTCTTGCATTATCTGGTTTGTGTTTTACCCTTTCCCCTCCCGTTAAGTGTGAATAGAGCAGACCGGGAGTGAGGAGGTCGGGCTTCCAGGTCTGGCTCTGCCCTTGGGCCTTGGGTCAGTCACCCTGACTCTGTGGGCTCTGGTTTGCTTATCTGTAAAAATGGAAATAATATTGTGTTTGCAACACTGTAGCAGGGATTAGAGAAAATGAATGTAAAGTGAATAATAAAACACCTGACACATAGGAGCCCCCAAATGTAATTATTATAATTCATTTTATCTGGTGATTGAGGAAAATCTCTACAATTCTTTCTAACAGAAATCTCTACAGTTCTCTCCAAATTCTTTGACTGATGAATTTCTGTTATAACATTTTAGCACTGGTGAAAAGATTAGCATGGTTATTTCAGTTATGTCTGCACATTTTCCTGATGCCTACATTTTTCCTATCAGAGAGGTGGGAGGTAAAGTGCAGGACTCCAAAGAAGCTGCCTATTAGAAGATGAGTCTGGGAGCACCTGCAGAGTAAACACTCATTCATGTCCCGAGTGTGTCCCCCTCCCATCTCAGAAGCTCACTCCAAAGCCACCCCATCCTTACAGAAACTCACAGGCCTCAGCTCTGTGGGATCCCACTCCAGGTACTGGGCAATATGCAGCATTTGGTTGACAATGCAATCCATCTCCTAGAAAATAGCAAAGGGAGAAAATATCAAAAGGAGACAACCAAAAGTGTGTCCTTAAGAGCTGAACTCAAAATTAAGCCCAGTGGGAAGAGGGACAGGGCAGGGCAAGAGAAGAAGCTGGTGCAGTAACTGGCATTTTGTGAGGAGCTCAGTTTATTTCTGTCTTGACCACAAAGCTCACGAGAAGCACAGAGCATGCATAAGCTGGAGGTATGCAAAAAGCTCATGAACACTGACTTTCTCCTGGACCCACCTTCCTTCCCTTATTCTGTGCTTTAACTTGGAATGCATAGAAAGCACTCCTGTTTTTATCCCTCTTTGTGATTATCACTTCCACAAATACTTACAAACCAAGGCAGATTTCTCCTGTCACTTCTTATCACTCATCCCCACAGCTTTAGCAACTTGGGATCCATCTCCCCACTCAAGGCCAGTTTCTCTTGCATGGAGGGTTACTCTGTGTGTCTTAGCTCAGGTACCATGATCTTGATTCCTTTTGTTATCTCCTCTGTTTCCTTTTTACCATGGTCCAGCCCTTAGCCCAGGAGTCCGTGAACAGGAAACTCATGAGGAATATGTTTACTTGATGAATAAGCCCTTTGCTACTGAGGCCAGGCTCCATCTAAAACCTCACAGAATTGTTGGCTGCCAATGAGTCAGTGTTCTGAGAGCCCTGCTGAAACATACTAGACTGCAGAGGCGTTTGGTGTCAACGTTAGGACCACTTAGGCACCAGCTAAGATGTTCATAGTAAGATTGCTTTGGGAGGACATGTTGTAGATTGAAGCAAGGTTCAAAAGTGTTACCTCCACCAGATAGAATGCTGGGTCAAAATAGCAAGCTAAAACCCAGCAGGGATTTAAAAAAATTATATTTCATTTAAATTAAGAAACAATCCATTGTAAAACTACAGGATAGGCCAGTAAATGAGGGTAAGAAAGTGGGCACAAAGGCGGGGAGAGGTTTCGGCAGAAGCTCCAATAGAAAAGAACTTGTGAATCTGGTTGGGTCCAAGATTTAATAAGAAAATGTAATTCAGGAACCAAGAATTGGGCTCAGTCTTGGGCTATGTAAATAGAAGGAGAGTTGGCAGATTTCAAAAAGAAAAAGTTCTCCTGAGGTCTTCCTGGTCAGGCCACGTTTGGACACTTAAAGAGTCATAGGGGATGGATTCTGTTCTGTGCCACATTTCAGGAATGGCATTGACAAACCAGAGCTTATCCAAAGTGGATATTTAAGCCTGCCTTGTGAGAACCAGCAGAGGAATAGGGAAATTTTAGCTTGGAGAAGATTTTAGGGGAGATGTGATAGCACCTTCAAATACTCGAAGGTCTATTGTATGGGATAGGTGTTCCACTTGTCCTGGCCAGGTACGGGGGACAGAAGGAAGCAGAGGGATGCAGGGAAGGGAGGAGTTGAGGACTGGCTATTTTGGGCTCCCTGCTGGGTTGAGGGAGAAGGGGAGCAGAAGGAGGTTTTGAGTTGAAAACGATTCCCCGGCAGACAGAGGAGTGCCTGTTTTCGGGAAGGAAGCCCTCTCCAGCCTCACCTCCAGCAGTGGAATGGCTGTCTTAAGGTAGTCGATGACCTCCCTGTTACTGGGAGTCCATATGCCAGGGATTCCAAGTGGAAGGTTGAATCAGATAACTCTTTTGAGATTTGCTTCAGTCTACCAATATTACCTTTAAAATGTATCTGGAATTTAACAACTTCTTACCACCTGCAATGATTCTGCCCTGCACAAGTCTACCACCATTTCATGCCTTGATTATTTCAATGGCCTCCTAACCAGTATCCCTGCTTGCATTCCCTCTGTCACCCAGGTTGGAGTGCAGTGGCACAATCTCGGCTTATGGCAACCTCTACCTCCCAGGTTCAAGTGATTCTCTGACCTCAGCCTCCCGTGTAGCTGGGACTACAGGCACCTGCCACCACGCTCAGCTACTTTATTTTGTATTTTTAGTAGAGACGGGGTTTTGCCATGTTGGCTAGCTGGTCTCAAACTCCTGACCTCAGGTCATCTGCCTGCCTCGGCCACACCGCACCCGGAATAGAGTGATTCTGTTAAAACATAAGTCAATCACATCACTCCTCTCCTCAAAATCGTCAATGGTTCTCCATTTCTCTGGAGTAAAAGATAAACACTTTTTTTTTTTTTTTTTTTTTTTGAGATAGAGTCTCCCTCTGTCACCCAGGCTGGAGTAAGTGACATGATCTTGCCTCACTGCAACCTCCAACTCCAGGGTTCAAGCAATTCTCTTGCCTCAGCCTCTGGAGTAGCTGGGACTACAGGCGTGCACCACCACGCCCGGCTAATTTTTGTATTTTTAGTAGAGACGGAGTTTCACCATATTGGTCAGGCTGGTCTCGAACTCCTGACCTCGTGATCCACCCGCCTCTGCCTCCCAAAGTGCTGGGATTACAGGCATGAGCCACACACCTGGCTAAAGATAAACACTTTCAATCACCTATAAAATTTAACATGCTTTGCAAACTCCCCACTCCCCTACCCCCATCCCATGACTTCTCTAATCTCATTCCCTTGCTCTGATCTCATCTGTTCACTCATTCTGCTCCATTCACACTGGCCTGGGGTGAATCTTCTAACATCCTAGGCACCCTCAGGATCCTCACACTCACTGTTCTTTCTCCTGGAAGGCTCTTCCTCTAGACTTACTCCTTCACCTCCTTCATGCCTCTGTCCAGATGCCCCATCCTAGAAAGGCCTTCCTTGGCCACCCTCACTAAAGCGGCAACTTCTTCCAACACTTCCCCTCCTTCATTTTTATTCCTAGCACCCATCTCTACCTGATACATGTCTCTACTATGCTGCTTAGTGGCTGTGCTTGGACTAGAATGAAAACTTCATGAGGGCATGGAAGTTTGTCAGTTGGCTACACTGCCATAGCCCCAGTGCTTAGAAGAGTGCCTGACATAATGCAGACACTCAGTAAATATGTGATGACCAAATGCTTGAGAATCTGTGATCCTCTGGATGTTCCCGCAGATGACCCAACCCACAGCATTGCAATGTGGCTGAAGAGCCACAGTGCTTCCCACAGAGGCACCCTGGGGTTTAGAGGGAACTGGGATGATTCAGTTGGTCTAGTGGACTTGTTCCCTTCCTTCCTTCCTCTGGTCTGACTCAACCCCTTGCCTCTCAACCTCAGGGCCTTCCTGTTAATGAGCCCTATCTCTGACATTGACAGTCAGGATCACAGGGCCTATCTGACTCTGTTTGCCTTCTTCTCTTTCCATCCTTCCTTTTACTCCATGAGCCTTGACTGATCCTTGCCTATTCCTGAAGGAGTAAGGGTGAGTCTCAGGCTTTCTCAGGTGCAACAGGATGGGAACATGACCTGACATTAGAGCAGACAGAACCAGACTCCTAGGCTAGTGCCCTGGAGTAGGAGAAGCAGCCAAGGGTGATGCCAAAGCACATCAGCAGTGACCAGCAGCCTCCTTCCTCTCACATCAGCAGTGACCAGCAGCCTCCTTTCTCATGCCCTTTTCCCCTAGTCTTTTTGCCTCCCCTGCCCTCTCCTCTTGGCCTCAGGACTCCTGCAGGAAATTGCAGGAGGACCTTGTGAACTGAAGGGGAATTTAAACTAGGTGACATGCTAAAGCATCCCTCCATCCTGAGATTTGATGATCCTAGGCTTCGAGAGTGAAAAGGTAAGTTGGCATTCACGCTCTGCAAGGCTGGCCCTTAGGAAATAGCAGGTGGAGAGGTCCTAGTCGGATTTCCTCAGCCTGCATCGAGACATCGTTATTACTATAAAGACAGAACTGAACATTTTCAGATTCTTCCTCTGCTTGCTCCCTGCTCCCCCAGCCTTTCTCAGGTCCGTGAGGGATATTTAGAGTGAGAACTTACCGCTTGGTCCAGGAGACCGTTCTCATCTGAATCATAGAGACGAAACATGACTGTAAGAAACACAGAGGTAAGCCTTGAGGTGTCCTTTAAGAAGCAGGGATGGCTGAAGTTTTGATGCTGCCAAGTTTTTAGATTAGTTCTGTCACCACTGTGACGAAGGCTGTGGCAGCCAGCTCTTCCTCCCTCTGAGCGCAGAGTCTGACTTCCTTAAGGAGAGGCTGGGCCAAGGGAGGAGAATCACCTGGCTTCTGGACCTGTCTAAGCAATACCTATGTGGCTGATGAAGTCCAGGTCATGAGTGTGATTCCCTGGGGAGTATGAACACCTTTCAGTGTCACTAGAACACAACCTAAAGCAAATGCCCAGCTGGGGGTGGGGCAGAGGCACCAGCATTTTGCTTCTATTGAGCATAGAAAGTGTAGAGTTAGCAGATCTAAATCCTAGGGCTGCCCTGCCACTTCTGGGGGGTGCCCAATAAGTTATATAACTTCTTTGAGCTCAGCTTCCTTGTCTGTAAAGTGGAGATGATAATAGCTGGTTTCTCCTAGGATTATTATGAAGATAAATGTGTAACTGATAGGCCAAACCAACTGGGCTTAGAACATAGAAAACACTCAACAGATGTCACTAATTTTTATTTTCCTTTTAAAATGAACATTTATATATAACATTTAACATATACAAGGTATTGTCCTATATACTTTCTCATTATTGCTTAATCCTTAATAATGCTGTGAAGTAGTTGTTACAGAAGCCATTTTTTTCCTTTTTCTAAAAGGTATTTGGAAACATGCTATTCAGAAACATCTTCAATCAGGTTCTAACTGCAGGGAGGTGATGTAGGATAAGGAAGTTCTGGGAGAAAATTTTGGACAAGGAACTACACGTTTACTTATGGGACCTGGAAACCTATATTTTACTCAACCAAAAGGCAAAGATCCTGTCTGTGGTCTCATAAGTTGGGATGGTAGGAAGCAGAGATACGCATTTCTTCATTTTCCTGCTTTTTTGTTTTTTGGGGGGTAGGAATTTCGCTCTTGTTGCCCAGGCTGGAGCGTAATGGCGCGATCTTGGCTCACTGCAATCTCTGCCTCCCTGGTTCAAGTGATTCTCCTGCCTCACCCTCCCGAGTAGCTGGGATTACAGGCATGTATCACCACACCCGGCTAATTTTGTGCTTTTAGTAGAGACGGGGTTTCTCCGTGTTGGTCAGGCTGGTCTCAAATTCCTGACCTCCGGTCATCTGCCCACCTCAGCCTTCCAAAGTGCTGGGATTACAGGCACAAGCCTCCATGCTCCCTGGCCTTTCCTGCTATTCTTTAAAACCCTTCATCATGCCTGCTTTCTCTGTGGAGCACCCATTGGGTGCAACACCTCGGGGCAGGTATCAGCCTGGTCCCCTTATTTCTGCAAAGTTGCCCTTGTGTCATCATTTCCTCCTAGATGCTTTAATGTCTCTGTACCTTGTATTTTTTTCAGGGGTGCATCGCTGGCGAAGTCAAAGTCCTTTAAAGGTAGGGTCATGGGCTTTCGATTCTTTGTGATTCCTCAGAAGGCCCCAGTCTGAGGCATGTATCATATGCTGATGACTCACCCAGCAGATGGTTGAATGACATAAACAGACCTTTTCTGCTAGCATTATTCCAGGTCTCTGGGCCTAGGCGACTCTCCAACGCTGACCTCTCTCTGGTCCTACTGTGCATGAACAATAGAACTAGAAAGACCTGAGTAAGCATCCTAATTTTAGCAGTGTGACCTTGGACAAGTCTTTTAACCCTCTTGTGCCTTCCTTCTAGGTTACGGTGAGGTTAAAATGAGAAGGCATTCAAAGTGCTTAGCAAATATAAGGTGTTTATTGATGATAGTTGTTCTTGTTATTATTGCATTGGCAATAGGTGTGGGACTTCAGACTATTATTTCCAAAAAATACATGCTTGGTTTTTACAAAGAAAAGTTTAACTTGTTTTCCGTCCTTAAAGTTAAGGAAGGATATAAATCGATATGGTTTGGTAAAAAGCAAACCAAAATGAAAACTCTATATGACCAAGTTTCTGCAACAAAAGACTTGCAGGCCGGGCACGGTGGCTCACACCTCTAATCCCAGCACTTTGGGAGGCTGAGGCAGGTGGATCATCTGAGGTCAGGAATTCGAGACCAGCCTGGCCAACATGGTGAGACCCCGTCTCTACCAAAAATACAAAAATTAGCTGGGCATGGCGGCGGGCACCTGTAATTCCAGCTACTCGGGAGGCTGAGGCAGGAGAATCGCTTGAACCTGGGAGGTGGAGTTGCAGTGAGCAGAGATCACGCCACTGCATTCCAGCCTGGGCGACAAGAGTGAAACTCCATCTCAAAAAAAAAAAAAAAAAAAAATTTGCAAGGAAAAAATTAGCAAAAGATGGAGAGGGATCCGAAAGATTAAAAGAGAGTGAAGACACATAACAACCAGTGGTGATGTATGAATTTTACTCGGATCTTGATTCAAACAAACAGTTAAAAATATCTAAGATAATTGGAAAAATGTGAATACTATTTGATAATAGTAAAAGGAATCATTTTCTTTGGCTGTGATGATGGTATTGAGGTTATATTAAAGAAGAAGAGTCTGTGAATTTAGAGGTACGTACTGAAATATTTACAGATAAAATTATATGATGCCTGGAATTTGCTTCAAAATACTCTGAGGCAGAGGGAATGGGTGGGAGGTACAAACACAAGACTGACCATGAGATGATCATTGTTGAAGCTGGGTGATGGGACCATGGACGTTCACTGTACTCTCTACTTTTATCTTTGAAATTTTCTCTAATAACAAGTTTTAACGTTTCTTTGCATGGCCATTATAAGACTCAGTTGGAGAGTCATTAATATAAAACAATCTGTCACCTTCTCTTTGGTAGTTACCAATAAATACAATGCCTGAAATTCAAAATCCAGCTAAATGCTGGAAATAATTTGATGTTTCACTTTTAACATTAGCTGGAAGAAAACAGCAATCTGCTACATTTGCCACCAAACTAGCACTTAAGACTTGCAATTGTTAACACTTCGAACCTATGGGAGAGATTTTAAGCTCAGCTCATGAGCAAACTGTTTCATTTTGTTTTTGGCGAGAGTTAACCTTTGGCAGACTTCCCTTGCTTATGTTTAAGTTTTGTTGACTAGTCTTATTATTAACTTGAATTTTGACTTTGGCTATAACGTACCTTTTTTTTTTTGGCCTTGCTGTCTACTTAAGTTCCCAAGAGAAGCAAAGACAATACAAATTTTTTAACAAGGTCCTATCATCTCCTATTTTTTAAAAGTATGTCTGTAGGCTCACAGAAGCCAGAGAAACCATCCCTGGACTGAATCATCTACAAGACTGCAGGCTGTTTCGGCCACTGTGAACTTTCTGCCCCCAGCTCTTACTCTCCTCCTGAAGACATATTTTTAAAACCTACTTTAGTAGCACCACCAAACCGAGCTCAACTCCTTTAATTAACTGGCCTCCTCGTTCTCTAGCGGCCAATAATCTTGGGGTGGGGCGTAGGTAGAGAAATGGACAAAGCCTTATCAAGACAGAGATTGATGAGATCTCAAGAAAAGACTATTTCCTCATAAAGAGTTGCCTGGGCACGGAATAGGGGGAAGGAGAACAGTTGTTGAATATCTTTCTCTAAAAAATCTACTAAGAGGAGGTAGCAGTTTTCCGAGTAAAGGCTTTCAGGAAGTCCTGCCAGCAAAGCAAGGAAGTCTTGACCGCTTGATGGAACCCCTTCCCCTTTCCAGATTCTGGTTCTCAATGCCTGGGTTTCAGATGCCTTTCCCACAGGATACACAACTGGTACTATGTCCCAGGGTGGATTCTAGGAGTTGTTCATATCACTACTGGTAACAGGACAAAGAAACCTCCCCAAAGACGTACGACCTATATCTGTGATACCAGCTCAATCTCCAGTGTGTTCAGGAATAATGGACAGAACCCCAGATCTTTCTCTAGGAAAAAGATGAAGCCCCTTGACAGGGTGAGCACTTACACTCCAGCTTATCCTGAGGCCTTCCCGTCTCCAGCAGGGACAGGTAGCACACAACATCCTTCAGGTACACCACAGGGCATTCCGAGCTTGAAGACCGAGGGACGGGGGGTTCCGGGGGGGTTGCAGCCACTTGGTCTTCAGTTGGTGCTTGCTTCTCAGCCATATTTGATTCTGTGATAGGCAAAATGAAAACATCCAAGGGCATTTTCTGTTTAGTAAATATTAACCCCTCTTTGTTACCCCATCCTTTTCATGGTAGAGGCAAGAATTTTGTAAAAGTGTCTTCAAAAGCCTTGGTTACATAGATGTGATCAAATTAGTGGCCCTAGAAATCCAACTTGTGGAGTTCATATTCTCTGAAGGGATCTCATGCTGACCCCTTTAAGAGTCTATTTCCTTGCAGGAAATTCATCTAAACTCTGAATATTCAGAAAAGATGATGGTGATTATTGGTAATATCAATAATCAACAGATAAATGTCATATGGCCTACTTTTTGGGAACATACCCAACTTGTAGAAGTAATTTTGGCCAGGATTTCAAAATGGTAAATGGCCAACAGTCATTTCTTAATAGACCTTGCAATTTTCTTTTCAAACACATTTAAACACACATAAAGGATGAATATTCAAAAGAGAAAACTGGGATTGATAATCAACAAATCTCCAGAAACTAGGAAGAACTCAAACTAACTGCAGGTCTGATCATTTGGATGAAGAAAATGCAGAAAGTGGATTATTGTACCGCAAGAATGGGGTAAGTTTTCCCTTTAAAATTTCTGCTTTCTAAGGTAGGAAAACACTTTGTCTCTTCCACACTTTGTCCGCTGGTTCAGAAATATAAGATCTATTACTAACAAGAAAATGGGGCACCCCATTTTCCTGTGTGAATTCTACTTTTTGAGACACTTTGAGTGCTGTCTTCCCTCTCTACCTCCATGCTCGTCAGAAATGATCTCTTAATATCTGCTAGGAGTGTACAACTCACAGAAAACAACTAACCAGGGAACAAAGGGAAGGTGGGCAGTGGAAAATCCAACATTTTAGGTGTTGTAATATTATACCACCAAGTAACAAAGTACTGAAGGTAGAGGCAGTGGGAGAGACAGCCCTGATAGTAACATCTGTTGAGGAAGGCAGTGTTACCTGTACATTCTTCATTCGGAGAAACAAACAACCAAGCAATGGAAGTAAATATTCCATTTTAGGCAAGCAGGGCTGTGCTAGATGAAAGCCTTCCAGGTTCCAGGGGTTTGGTTGTGGGTCTGAGAAGGGAGTTAACAATCATCCAGATGGACAATAGGAGAGACCAAAGGTCACTGACACACTTTGTATATTACAAAGGGCCTCATGAAGAAACCAAGATGGAGCCTAGGAAACGCAGCCGCAAAGTAAGGAAAGAAAGCTTCATCCTGAGGTCTCAGAAGACCGGATTTTCAAAAGTAATTTTCTGCTGGACAAGACCCTTAGCAGGATGCAAGAAGATATCACCTTTATTAAACAAAAGCAGAAAGCCTCAAGGTTCGACAAGTAGAGATGAAAATACAATAGGATGAGATAAAGATAGGGATAGTGAGATGGGGAGGTTGAAATAAAATTACATATTTAATGAAGTATTAAGATTGTCAGTGGAGGAAAACATGGGAACAGGCCTTTGTACTGTGTAGTCGATTACACCTAAAGTTATTGCTAGGTCCTCAGATTATTCATCAATTAAAACACGATCAATAACTTCTATTTGACTAAATGGATTGACAGAGACCAGATTTACCCTCTCACCTAAAACAGTGACAAAACTGGACAAAATGTATGAAACAATGGTTCATAGGACATTACATTATCAGGGAGGACCAAACACTGACCTCTGAGAAGATGAGACAACTCCTACAACTGCCACATCAGACTGTTTGGAAAGAGCTTCTAGGCTGCAGCACAGAGAGGGGAAGCTAGGCCAACCCTGGCAGTCTCTCTGAGTGGAGTTGAAGCTGGAATCTGGAACCCATGGTGGCTAGGGTTCACAGAGCAGGCACTGGAGAGGAGGGGATGCACAGACAGCTAGCTCTGAATATGTGTAGAAGGTCCCCTTTGAGTAACAGCAGAGAATTCCCTTCAGTTATTCAGCTGAGTAGAATTAGCACACTTGTGGAAGGAAAACACCTAAGGCTGGGGAAAGAACTAGGATTAGAGGGAATAATCCCTGGAATGCAAAGAGAACCCGGAGTGATGCCTATTCCCACCAACCAGGGTAGAAAACCCCCATGATTCATGAACCATCGATAGAGTGTTCAGAAGCATTGTTTCTCAGTAGTGAGAAAATGCCTCTCTGGTCCTGTCCGGTGAAGCTTAAAAGATAGATCCAAAAAGATCAGACTGTTTCCAAGTAACCTAACTGTACCTAAAAACAAAACTCAGGAGTATTTGTAGGAATGTGAAAATCCAGGACTCAACATTTAGTGAAGAGGTACCATAAATTCTATACAAATTCTTGCAGAAAATTTAAGAGGAGGGAATCCTATGCAACCCATTTTTGAGGCCAGCATTACACTAAAACCAAAAACAGACAATGACATGACAAGACATGAACATGCAAATCAATATCCCTCATGAACACAGAGGCAAACGTTCTCAATATTTTAGCAAATTGAGCCTCATAATACATAAAAAGAAATTAAATAAGACCAAATAAACAAACAATTAAGAACATGAAAAGACACTCAACATCATTAAAGCACAAGAATATTTATAACACTTTTATTCATAATAATCATTAACTGGAAGCAATCTAAATGTCCATCAGTAGGTTAACAGACGAACAAATTGTGGAATATCTATATATTAAAACACTAATCAGCAACTAAAATATGTGAACTATTGATACATACAAAATGGATAAATCTCGAAATTATTATGTGGAGTGGAAAAAGGCAGACCCAAAAGAGTAGACAGTGTATGATTCCATGTATATAAAATCTAGACAATGCAATCTAATATATACGGCAGAAAGCAGATCAGTAGTTGTATGGGGATGAAGCGTGGGTGGGTAAAGAGGGTGGAAAAAAGGGATTACAAAGAAAACTTTTAGAGATTACGGGTATGTTCATTATATTAATTGTGGTACTAGTTTTACAGGTATATACATATGTCAAAACTTTTTAATTAATTATACACTTAAAACATGCAATTTATGCCAATTTATACCTCAATCCTTGGATCTTGAACCATTTCTCTAGTTTTCACTGAAGTCTGCTGCTCACTCCTGTCATAGAGATGCAGGGGTCCAGGAAGACTGAGAGGCACTGCCATTGTCCCATCATGAATGACAGTGCTCTTCCTCTTCACTCTGCCTTATATGAACTACCCTTAACCTATGGCCATCTGAGTATGTCCCTCAGGTACCACCTGTAAAAAGGCCAACACCCTCTTCCACATCGCAGAGGTTCTGTCCTGGTGCCATGTCCTAAACGCTTTCATGTGAGGGCTCTTGGGCAGACCTGACTTGTTCCACTTTCTCTCTTGGTATCTGTGTTACTTGTTCCCTACCAGTTGGGCAGTGTGGCATAGTGGGAAGAGCACCAGGCCAGGCAGCAGAAGACTGTGATTCCAGCACTGAGTTTGTGTTCAATTGTGTGTGATTTAACACACAAAGTATGTGTGTGTGATTTAACACAAGCAGGCTTACTCCACCATACTCAACCTCAGTTTTCTCATCTGTTTAAAGAGGGGATTGCATTAAAACTGATGTTTACCCAAAGTCTTGAACTACAGAAATCATTCAAGTAAATGACTTAACTAAGTGAAGAACAAAACTGGGTCCCAAGGCTGGGCACGGTGGCTCATGTCTGTAATCCCAGCACTTTGGGAGGCCAAGGTGAGTGGATTTCCTGAGGTCAGGAGTTGGAGACCAGCCTGGCCAACATGGTGAAACCCCATCTCTACTAAAAATACAAAAATTAGCTGGACATGGTGGCAGGTGCCTGTAATCCCAGCTACTCAGGAGGCTGAGGCAGGAGAATCGCTTGAACCCAGGAGGCAGAGGTTGAGAGGCAGAGGTTGCAGTGAACTGAGATTGTGCCACTGCATTCCAGCCTGGGCAACAGAGTGAGATTCCATCTCAAAAAAAAAAAGAAGAAACTGGGTCCCAGATTATCTATACAATACAGTCTGATCCCAATTCTGTAAAAAATCTATAGAAAAATCTACAAGGAGATTACACACACACACACACACATACACACACACGTAATTGCATTGGTGAAATTATGGGTGATTTTATTGTGCCTTTTAAAAAACACACTTTTTAGAGCACTGTAAAATTCAGACTAAAACTAGAAGAGCGTCCAGAGATTTTTCACACACCCTGCTTCCCTACACATGCATAGCCTACCATGCCTCACTCTCCGACCAGAGTGGTACATTTGTTACAGCTGATGAATAAATCAACACATCATTACCACCTGAAGTCTATAGTTTGCATTAGGGTTCACTCTTGGTGTTCTACATTCTGTGGGTTTGGGCAAATGTACAATGACATGCATTCACCATTATAGTATACAGAGTAGTTTCACTGCCCTAAAAATCCTCAGTGCTTTGCCTATTCATCCTTCCTTTCCCCTGACCCTTGACACCACTGATCTTTGTGGTTTCTTTATTTTTTTGTGTCCTTCAAATTTCTTACAATGTGAGTATATTGCTTTTATAATTTGGAAAAACTAACACAAAATATTAGGAGACTTTCCTTGATATTTCAATATTCCAAGTTGCTGAAACATCTCAACAGCCCGAGAAACTAACGAAACACCAGGACACTGAAGTTCTCCTTGTTCATCTCAGTTAGTCCTGGGCCTTCATGAAGGGAAGGGTGGGCTCAGCCTTTCCTGAGCTGACATTCTGACAGTGAGATTGCTCAGGCCTCTGAGCCAAAGTCTGGACCCTGAAAGCCCCGCTCTGTTGTCTTTATGGGCAAAACACATGCCTGCCCTGCTCTGGGAATGAAGTGGTTTTTGCTGGATCTGAGCTTGGAGACTGATGTGATAGGCCTAGACAGGCCACATGAAATAAGAATCTAAGCTCTTCCCCTGGCTTCCACCTGGACAACAGGAAAAGGTTGGTCTTTTCAGCAGATGGCCTGATTGAAGGTGAGTCCAGGACTTGGCTCTTCCTTGCTGCCAGAGGCCCCTTTCTGTGGTGACCGCCTGGCCCTATAATTCTTGTTCCTGGTGAACAGGGGCATCTAATTAAGACATCTGTGGAAGAGGGCCTAGCAGGAAAAGGTTTTTTCCCCTTAAATCTCAAGTGTCAAAAGAAGATGAAAAAAATGCTATATAAGTCCTTGGGCCAAGAGTCAGATAATTGCCCTTTCATGATTTTACTATAGGGGGCTGATTTTTCCCATACACGAGGAAAATGGTACATCACAAAATCACTTCTCCAGGAGGAAATCTCTGGAAGTTTCTCTTTTAGACCCAGAATGATACAACTACTGCAAATACATATGGAGGTCAAATAAGTCAGCTAATTTCCATTATCATCATCGGTCATCTTTTCTCAAATATCACATAATGACATATCCCCAATAAATTCTTCCTTGGTAGCTCAGAAACATTACCCACGAAAACACAACCTGCCCAGACAATTTGGAACGTCAATGAATGAATCGTATCTTCTTATCTTCTTCCAGGTTCCTCTTGAAATTCCAGATAAAATAAACCCCATCTCTACTAAAAATAGAAAAATTAGCCTGGTGTGGTGGCATGCACCTGTAATCCCAGCTGCTTGGGAGGCTGAGACAGGAGAATCGCTTGAACTTGGAAGGCAGAGGTTGTGGTGAGCTGAGATTGCGCCATTGCACTCCAGCCTGGGCAACAAGAGCGAAACTCCGTCTCAAAGAAAAAAAAAGAAAAGTCTCTAGGTAAAGAATTTGGGGCAGGATGCTTTTCACCACTGAGTTTCTTGCTGGGAGTTTGAATCTCAGAGCTACTAGTTTCACCCTTTCCTCCCTAGTATGAGAATGATTTATGCCAGAATATGCCTCCTGTAGTCCTTAGAAGATGTAAGAGTTATCTGTGCCTTATGTCCATTTCACCAAGTGGCTCTGGACTAGCATGGCTGAGTGGCATGCTGGGCAGGGCGTGGATGAGCCAGCACTTTTGCGGAGTCCTGCCCTGCTGCTGCTGTCCCTGAAACCATCAGGAAGGCACAGGTGCTCCTAGTCTTTGCTTTCTGGTGCTCTGTGTGTAGCCTGGAGTTTGCTGAGCTTATGATCCGGCGGTAACTGTTTTTCCCCAGCCATGCTCTGCTTTCCATCTATCATGAACTGTTTATCCCACCAGGCCTTTAGTTAAACACTGAAAACGCGATAATCCTTCCAGTTTCTCTTTTTGCTGTGACAGGAAAAAAGATTAGAACTACGTTGAAGAAACTCTCTCATTCCAGGTCCCTGTTGCAATTAGTTCCCCTTCTCTTAGCTGTAGTATCTCTAGTCTATCTTGTTTTATATATATTTAAAATATATATTTAAAATATAGGCTGGGCGGGGTGGCTTATGCCTGTAATCCCAGCACTTTGGGAGGCTGAGGCGGGTAGATCACGAGATTGAGACCAGTCAGGAGATTGAGACCACCCTGGCCAACATGGTGAAACCCTGTCTCTACTAAAAATACCAAAAATCAGCCGGGTATGGTGGCACGGGCCTGTAGTCCCAGCTACTCGAGAGGCTGAGGCTGGGGAATCACTTGAACCTGGGAGGCCGAGGTTGCAGTGAGCCGAGATCGCACCACTGCACTCCAGCCTGGTGACAGAGCGAGACTCCATCTCAAAATAATAATAATAATAATAATAATAATAATAATAATAATAAAAACTGCATTCTTTTTCCCCTGGGCACATCCCAAGAGCTGGAATTCACCTTTGGATATCTATATAGCTTTTCAATAAAATGATAATGCACAGTAAAAAAAAAAAAAAAAAAAAAGGTCTGACTTTCTGGGTCTTTGTATTGAAAGCTTCAGGAGCAACCTGGGAGAAACAGAGCCCATGAGAGACCTTTCATGAGAAGAGGATGCCCAGTTGACACACTTGGAGACTGAGGGTGCAGGTTGAAGGAGATAATGGCAGACCATACTGAGTTAAGAATAGAATATACTTCTGTGCTGGGTGTGGTGGCTCATGCCTGTAGTCCCAGCACTTTGGGAGACCGAAGTGGGTGGATCACTTGAGGTCAGGAGTTGGAGACCAGCCTGGCCAAGATGGCGAAACCCTGTCTCTACTAAAAAAGTACAAAAATTAGCCAGGTGTGGTGGCACACTCTTGTAATCCCAGCTACTCAGGAGGCTGATGCACGAGAATAGCTTGAACCTGGGAGGTCAAGGCTGCAGTAAGCTAAGATTGTACCACTGCACTCCAGCCTAGGGGACAGAGCAAGACTTTATCTAAAAAAAAAAAAAAAAAAAAAGGAATAAAGAGTACTTCTGGAAGGTGGCCTGAATAATAAATGCTAATATTTATCAAATATTTACTGTATGCCAGGCACTATTCTAAGCATTAACATATCTAACTCACTTAACCTTTATAACAACATTTGTTATCTCACTTGGGGACACTGAGGCACAGAGACAGTGTTCAAACATGCCCACGGTTACAGAGCTAAGTAGTGTTGGCTCTGAGAATCAAACCCCGGCAGGTTGGCTCCTTAAGCAACATGCTCTGTTGCCTGATCCAACTTGAGTTGATAGTACTCAGGACATTTATATTGAATATGAGAACAGAAATTAAGTATAGTAACCTTTACTTCTCATTTTTGCAGGAGCTTCTGGCCTTGGTCCTGGCCTGTCAACAGCAGAGAGGAATGGCTTCCCATTGATAAATGTGTCAGGGAAGATTCCACATCTCTGACAGCCCAACAGTGGGCCTCTGGGCAGCAGGCACCACTACGGCAGCCCCGCTGAGAGTGCCGCCTTGCTCATTCCACAGGAACCAACCACACCACCAGGACCATTGTGTCCTCTCTTGGTATAGGAAAGACTGCAGGGGTTTTGAGGTTGGATGATTCTGGATTGAATCCCTGGCTCCACAGGTCACACCAGTGGTATATAATTTCTTAAGGCCTCAGTTCCTCATGTGTAAAGTGGTGTGATTGTGAAGCTTAAATGAAATGTGTAATGAGCAGATGCCTGGCAAATACATCTTCAAGACCATTTGAGCTGGCTTCCCTTGCTACCTTATTAGCAACTCTTCCACTTACTCAAAATAGTGTATATATGCTGTTGGAAGTCAACCACGGCACATTTTTACCCTCTTGCTCTGTTCCTCTCCAGCTACCCACTGGTAATCTGCACCTCAGCCTTAGAGCCACAGCCACTTCTCTCTCTCTCTCTCTCTCACACACACACACACACACACACACTTTCTCCTGAGAAGGCTCTTCACTTTCTGGGCAGGCAGACATATCAGAGAGAAACATCTAGCAAGCTGTTCCAAGTCCCAACTTGCTCTGTTCTAGGGCAAGTAAAGCAAAAACCTTTACCCAGCCTCAGAATCCCAAAACATTCAAATGACAGGAACCCCAGAGATGGAGGTTCTGAAGGCCACAGGAGGACCAGATCTGCATAAGATTGCACAATTATATAAGGACAGCACTATTGGTTAGGTTTCCCCACTTCTCCCCAGGGATGAGATATTCCCCACTTTACCCACAAATCTTATATTCCAAAGACTTACCAGTATCAGGGGCACAGGCCTCATCTGCTTTGGTGGCATTATCTGCATTCTGTATATTAGTATCTGAGGAACAAAAAGAAGATTTAAAGACCAGACCAGGCCTTCCAGCTTCTTGGAAGGGCAGGTACGGGACCTCCCCATGGAACCTGGTTCACCTGGGTTGTGTCTGTCTCTGGGTTACTGTCAGCTGGGTTCATGCTCACTTATTGGGATTGACTGTGCCTCCCCCATTATAGCCCAAGCTCCAGGAAGACAGGGATCATGGCTTCCCTCTCCTCTAACACTTCCAGGCTAGTCCCAGCCTGGACACAGAAGCTGAATGTGCTCCATCCGTGGACTGTCAGCCTTTCCTGAAGGCTCTCTTCCCCTGCCATACGTTATTTTGTGTCTCCTCTTTCCCTACCCTGCTCTTTGATCTGTAGTGGCAGGAATTATGCCTCCTCTTTATTCCTCTTGCTGAGAGGTTCATCAGGGCTTCCTGTAAAGCGCTCTGAGGAAGGGCGTCCCTGTCTCTTGGTTCATATTCGCACCCATGGGGTAGTTACTATGTTCAGGGGACCCTTTCGGAATGCAGTCTGTGGCTGTGGTAGGGGGTGAGAGCTGCACAAGGTCTGCCCATCTTGGGGAAAACTCTGTGTACCTGGGCTATTGGCCTCGCTGTTGCTGGCCCCCTCCGTCGGGTGGTCAGAGGTCTCCTGTCTGGGCTTCTGACCGAAGGCCAGGAAGAGGTGAGTGCTCAGTGGCTGGGGAAGGTCCACCTCCAGGTATGCCCTCATGAACAGCTTGAAGACATCATAGCTAATTGGCTGAGAAGAAGCAAAAGGGCAAAATCAGTGGAGAGAAGCAAAGGGACAGAGAGGAAGAGAGAAGGAAAAGGAATAGAAAAGCTGGCAGGTGAAAGAAATGGAAAGGGAGGCAGCAGGACATGGAGGAGCTGATGGGGACAGGAATGAAAAGGCCAGGGAAGTGATAGAGAATGAGAGGCACAGGGTGTGGGGGATGGATGTAAGAAAGAGAAAATGCTGCGGTTGCATATTGGGGGTTGGTGGGGCACAGAACCAGGGCAGGCTCCTGTAATAAGAAATTATATTATGTAAATTTAGATAAAAAGGGAGATGTTGGAGAGTGAGCCTTGGGAGTGGAGGCCAAAGTGCAGGGCTCTCCCTTAGTCCAGGCCCGTGTGAGGGATGTGGCTCTAATGAGTGGGGACAAGGTCTGTGCTCTGGAATCCTAGTTAAGATGAAGAAGGATGTAGTTGAAAATATGATGGAAAGAAATGGTTCTTCTGTAGTATCTTGGTTTCCCTCTTGTGCCATGACGGATGTGATGCCTGAGTATTCAGGTCTCAGAAAGTAGGAAAGACCTGGAAGAGAAAAGAACAGGCTCCATCCTTCATTACTTTCATAGTCCTGATCTTCCCTGGAAAAACCCTCAAATAACGAGGGGGTATGTGTTTCTGGCTCAGCTGCTTCTCAAAACATGTCCTTGTGAAGGTTTTAGGCACCAGGAGAAGAGCAGGAAGCCAAGGACAGAAGGTAGAACCAAGAGATATGCCAAGAACTAGACCCTCTTCCTGCTGTGTCTCTCCCGGTACCGCCTGGCTTCTGGTCCCAGGCTGGGAGCAGCTTTGCCAGAAAGGGCTGCTGCACTCAGCAAACACTCAACAACAACAACAGTTTGCAGTGAGTCATCACTGGCTTGTGCTTTGATGGCATCAGATTCTTCATCAAATCGGCAGATGCTCCTGGAAACCATTTGAGGAAGCACTACTCCGAGATCTGCTGTGCAAGCTTTTGTGAATAATAGCAGCCATGAGAATAAAATCCCTTTGCAGGAGTCTACTTGGTGTGCCCATCAAAATGTTGGTAGCATTTAACCCCTTGTCTGTTCTGGGAGATCTGGGGGACTTCCCAGAACCAGAGACTGGCTTACATGTGTATAAACAAGTTTGGGTTCAAAATCTTGACCTTAAATGCAAGTAATGGCCTCCCCAACCCACTGGGGGGCCCACAAATAAATTTCTGTTTAGCACCAGGCTTGACTGTTCTATCGGTCTCCTTTGCAGAGTGAAGGAAGTCTGAATCTGATAAGAGGCTCTTACCAGATCAGGGGAACTCGAAGCAAATGGTAGGCTCACATTTCTTGTGACAGCTATCCATCTCTCTGTTCCTTTTCTGTCCCCGAGTCTCTGTGTCTCTTTATTTCACACTCTTTCTGTCCCTCGCTGTCTCTGTAGCTTCATCGCCTCAGAACGTCCCTTCTTCCCACATCCTTCTCCTTTCTCCTAATACACAATAACAAAATATTTTCTTCCTCCTCTCTTTTCTTTCTTTCTTTCTTTTTTTTTTTTTTTTTTTTTTTCCTGAGAGAGTCTCGCTCTGTCACCCAGGCTAGAGTGTAGTGGCGCCATCTCGGTTCACTGCAACCTCTACCTCCTGAGTTCAAGCAATTCTCATGCCTCAGCCTCCCAAGTAGCTAGGATTACAGGTACGTGCCACCATGCCCAGCTATTTTTGTATTTTTAATAGAGATGGGGTTTCACTATGTTGGCCAGGCTGGTCTTGAACTACTGACCTCAAGTGATCTGCCTGCCTTGGCTTCCCAAAGTGCTGGGGTTACTGGCGTGAGCCACCATGCCCAGCCCCTCCTCTCCAACTGTAACCCACCCACTATGATCCTTGATTCCATTCTCGCTGGCTCTGATTGCACCTCCAGCATTTTCTTTTCATCTACCTGCAAATATGTTAAATGTCCCCTATTCCAAAGAAAGCGCTGTCTACCAGAGCTACTGGCCCATCCTTCTCCCCTTTCCTTTCAAATTTCTCCAAACAGACCAGATTAGCCTCCTCACCTCCCTAATCCCATTTGGATTGGATCCTAGCCCATTACCTCTGAAACTACTTTGTTGAAGGTCACAGATATAATCATCTCTTTTTAGACTGTTCCATCTTTGGCCTCTCTGCAGCATTTCATCCTGTCTTCTTTTTGAAGTTCTCTATTTTCTATGCAGTTGTTCTGTTTTGGTTCTCTTCATTCTTTACTTTGATTTGACTGAATAATATGGCACTGTTCTTCATTAATTTGTTTCTAAAGCTCTTTTTGCTTTGTCTTTTTGTATCACTTTAATTGACAAGTACTATTTTAAAAGGTAGTTTTCAGTTCCATAGTGAACTATTAATCTCTCACAGCTAGCATCAAATGAAAACTATCAGAATAAAATATTTCTGGAAAGCAGACTGTACTAAATGATCTAATAAAAAGAAAGTTTAAACAGTGTAACATAATGCTGTAAAGAACCAAAGCCAAAAGATCATGAAACAAGATCAGCATGAGATTCAACAAACCTCATGACTGGTCTCAGACCAAGCGCATTTCCCCTCCTTTTCCAATCTGTTTCTTCTTCAGCAAATTGTGAGTGCTGAACTAGAAGATTTCAAGTTCTAAACTTCAATTAGCTTGCTCCCTGAAAACCAGCTGATCTTTCTGACTCCACAATTTCTGTTAATGCCAATGACACCATTATGCTCCCAACATTACAGGCTGAACTTTGAACTGTCAGTTGTCTGAGACTAGTTCTTGTCTCTTCCTTCTGTCCACTGTTCTTCTGCAATGTCTGTCACATCCAGACCTTTTCTATGTCCATTGTCCCTGCTGCCATCACCAAAATTCCTGGATTCTGACTTTTGTTCCATATAATTCACCTGGACCATTGCAATACCCCTCCAAAGCTTCCTTATCCCCATGTCCATCTGTGGGTCCTCCCACCTATCTTACCTATCCTTGCCCTGTTGATCTTCCTAAAGCACAACTCTGATAAGATTGCTTCTCTACTCAAAAACTTTCCATGGGGCGGGCGCAGTGGCTCATACCTGTAATTCCAGCCCTTTGGGAGGCTGAGGCAAGTGGATCACGAGGTCAGGAGATCGAGACCATCCTGGCTAACACGGTGAAACCCCATCTCTACTAAAATTACAAAAAAATTAGCTGGGCATGGTGGTGGGTGCCTGTGGTCCCAGATACTCGGGAGGCTGAGGCAGGAGAATGGCGTGAACCTGGGAGGCAGAGCTTGCAGTGAGCTGAGATGGCACCACTGCACTCCAGCCTGGGTGACAGATCAAGACTCTGTCTCAAAAAAAAAAAAAAAAAAAAAACAAAAAAAAAAAACAAAAAAAAAAACCAAAAAAAACCACCACCACCATGAACAAAAAACAAACTTTCCATGGTTTCTAATTGTCCATGGAACTAAATTGAGATCAGCTGATGTACTTCTGTGTTCTTGCACTATACATTATAAAATATTTGCAAAACTAAATAGGCAAGTGGAAATTAGATGAATGTAAATAGAAAGTCTAATATGCAGTGTTCTACAGTCCAGTGGGTCATCCTGTGTACTCTCCTAGACCTTTGGAATTCATAGCCTCCGATAATCCCCTCCAATCTAGATTTGTAGTTACTTCAAGCTCTGAGATGATTCTGGTGTTTTCTGCTATTATTCCCCTTTGCATGTAGGCACTCTGTCCATGCTGACCTCTGTGTTCTTTCCCGACCAACCCTCCATGCAACCCTGCCCTGCATGAACTGCTTCCATCTCTACATGTTAAAGTTCCAGTCATGCTTTAAGGCCCAACCCAGATTCCGCCTTTTCCAGAAAGCCTTGTGATCTTCTGTCCCTGAATTTCCATACTTGGCACCTTGGTTCCTGTCTTGTGACACTCATATCTGCTGCTGTGCGTTGATATATAGTGGTTTGTGACATACCTTGGTTCTCTACTTGATCCAGAGCTCCTGGAAGGTAGTGAGAATGTCGTCTTTCATGTTTGAATTCCCCACACCACCTACCACAGGGTTCTTCTTAGGTATTTGAATGGATGATGAACCCTAATCAGTGCACCTCAGGAATAGCCTGGTGTCTGGCCCCTGGATGTCATCAACTATTATGGGATCAACTATATATGAGATATATATATATCTCCACTCACAATTTGCTGAAGAAGAAACAGATTGGAAAAAGGGGAGAAATACACCAGATATATCTATATCTATATCTATAGATATGCTGGGCACCAATGAATTAGGTATTGGTCCATATCTTCAAAGAGTCAGTGTTATATAAGAGGTAAAGATATTGAAATAATTGCAATGCATGGCCATCAGTGGCAAGTGCCATAGGAAAAGAGCTGACAAACCGTTATGAGAACTTAGAAAATAATACTGACGGAACTTATCCAGCCATGCATGTCCCTATCCTAGAGAACAGGATGCACGGAATAAACCTGGAAGCACAGAACTTGCAAGCCAGAAGAGTCTCAGAGAGGACTTGGTCTTCTGATGCCCCCAAGGCTCAGGAAATTGAGTGATGAGCCCCAGCAAGCTAGCAGCAGAGTGAAACCAGAGGCCAGACCTCCTGACCCCTAGTCCAGTGCTCCTGCTTCTACATCTGTCACAGGGTCCAGAACTGGCATAGTGCTCTCTGACACTCTCTTCCAGTATTCCATGTTCAGCAGGCAAAGACATGCAAAAATGTGCCACACTCTCAAGGTGATATCTGGGTTATACAAAAGTTCTTTAAAAGCACAGCCCAGTAACAGAGTAGTTGCTTAGTAAATGCATTATGGGAGACTAACTAGGGAGTGGCTAGGGGTCATGCCCAAACCAGATGACCAGCTACTATGAGGCTTGCTGGCAATTCTCTGAGACCTGGAATAACATCCCAGGCACGCTCATGGTTCAGGCCAAAGGAACTCTGTTTTCCCCCAGCAGCTTTTACGCAGGAATTAGCTGGGCAATTTGCTCCTGCTGCAACATGCTTAAAGAGAGTGTGTTAATCCTTACACAGACCAAGAAGAGAGGAGAACTGGATGGAGAGCTTAGCAGGCATCAGGTGCTTTCATTCTCAGGACAGCAGTGTGGGGAAGAACTGTTACTGTCATTTTGGGGATAAAACAAATTTTGACAACATAAATAACTTGCTGAAGATCATAAAGCACGTGGCAGAGCTGGGCTTTGTGCTCAGGTGTCAGGCTCACAGTGCCACCAAGTCACCTGCCTCTTTTGCTCTTTTGGGTTTTGTCCACTCTCTAGTTGTCTGCCACCACTCTGTTCTCCAGAGAATCACTTGGTGCTGATGGGCAAGCGCATGTTCATCACGGCCAGATGCAGCTCTGCCACTCTGCAAAGTTTTATTCCCATCCTACCTTTGCTAGCAATCTGCCCCTTCCCACAGCTAACTCGTTTCTCATTGAGACATTTTAGCAGCAGTAAGCCATCAAACTCTAGAGAAATTAAACCCTTCTTGTTTCCCTAACCCCCGTGCCATGACATTACACCTACTAGAAGTCAGCTGCACTGTGTGAGAGAACAAAATCAGAGTGGCAGAGCTCCCTTGGGACCCAGCAGTGCCTGGCGTACAAAAAGTGGGGGCCAGCCCCGACAGAGGCGAGGGCGGCTACATGCTCACAGCAGCCAAGCGACTCCCTGCTTCTGAAAGCTCCTGTGGCCTCCACACCCGCAGTGGCCCTGACCAAACTGTTCCTCTCCCACTCATCAGCCCCAGGGCAGACAAGCTGATTAGCAGCCCCCGCCAGGCTTTGTTCCTGTGTTTTGGAGCTGGGGGTGGGGGGTGTGGGGCAGTGAGTTCTTTGCTGGTTCTGCTATCTTCTCTGCGTGGTTTCTCCTCAGGAATGTTCTTTGAAATGGTGCATTCTCAATCTCGCCCCTGTTCTGGCTACCTTCCTCCTGCTTCATTCTCTCTACAACTGGTGCATTTTATCCAAAGCCCCTCTTAGGTGTACCTTGAGGGCACAGGCTCTGTTGATTCATTTCCAGTGTCCAGCAGAGAAGGTGTTGATCAGTTTTGTTCAATGGATGACAACGTGAATAAGAAAGTGGCCAGTCTCTCCCTGAGTTAATCCTGCAGATCAGTCACTTTTCTGTGGTTAGTCTTTATAAAAGGACTCAGGAGCAGGGAAAACGGAATTGAGTTAAAAACATTCTGGGGAAAGGAGATGGAAGAGGGATAACAACAGGTACAAATTTTTAAGTGCTTGTAGAGTGTTAGCCACTTTGCAAAGATCCTCTCATTTAATTCACTCATCCATAAACTTTGAGGCTTTTTTTTGTTATGTACAGTTTATAGACGAGGAAAGTGAGGCTCAAAGATATGAAATATTATTGAAGACCACTTGTTGATGGCAGAGGTAGAAGTCTAATCTAAGACCGTATAATTTCAGGGTCATGGCTGTCAAACCTGAACCGGCCAGTAGGAAATAAGTCCTGGAGGGCAGGAACTGTGCTTCTGTATTTTTATGCCTTCTACAGTGCCCAGTACAGCGCATAGAAGCCCAAGAAATGTTAGATTCATTGAATTTGAAAGTAGGGGGAGGTCTTGTATCCATTTATTCAGTCCACAAATATTTATTGAATGCCTGCTATGAGCCAGATACTTTTTCAGGCACTGAAGACACAGCAGTGAATAAAAACATGCTAGTGGGAGAGACAGACAATTAATTAAGTAAATTATATAGTGTGACAGGTGGTGAGAAGTACTTAGGAGGAAAATAAGGCAGAGGAGGGGGTAGGAAGTGTTGGGAAAGAGGGCTTCAAATATTAGATGAAGAAGGTGATGATCACTGAGAAGGTGACTTGAGCATAGACTGGAAGGTGGTAAGGTAATGGACAATGTGATGTGCTGAGGAGGAACATTCTAAGAAACAGTAACAGTAAGAGCAATGGTGCTGAGGTTATGGTGACACCAGCTTGTTTGATAGCATCAAGAACGCTAATATGCTGAAGATGGGGAGAGTAGCAAGAGACGAGGTCAGAGAGCTGGGGGAGGTGCAGATTGTAATGATCTTCATGTTTACTCTGAGTAGGAATGGGGGGAACCATGGGAGATTGTAGAGTACAGCAGCGACAAGCTCTGACATAAATTTTGACAGATTACTCAGGAAGTGTGTGAAGAATAGACTGAAGCAGGAAGGGCAGAAGCAGGGAGACCAGTTAGGAGACTCTTGCAATAATCTGGGCAAAGTATGGTGATGACTCAGGTCAGGATGCTAGCAGTGCAAGTGGTGAGATGTGTCTGTATTTTGGGTATATTTTGAAGGTAGATCTAACAAAATTTGCCAATGAATTGGATGTGGGATGTGAGAGAAGGACAAAAGTTGATGATGACTGCATAGTTTCAGGTTGAATAACTTGAAGGGTAGAGTTGTCATTTACTGAAATGGGGAAGACTGCTGAAAAAACAGGTTTTATAGGGGAAGATTAAGGATATATCATTTTAGTTCATGTTAAGTTTGAGATCCCTATTTGATTTTTAAGTGTAAATGTCAAGTAGAGGGGTAAGAAGAAATCAGGAGAATGTAGCATCTTAAAACCAAGTGAAGAAAATGGAGGATGACTTGACCAACCATGTCCAGTGATGTTGAGCAAAACTGCTATTGGATTTAGCTGTAGGGAGGCCCTTGGCTATCTTGACTAGTGGTTTGAGTGGAGGAGTGAAGGTTACAGACTGATGCAAGGCAATTCGGGAAAGCAGGAAGAACAGAATTTGGAGGCAACGAGTATAGACAAGTATTTTGTACAGTTTTGCTATAAAACACAGGAGGGAAATGACGTGGTACCTAGAGGAGGAAGTGGAGTCAGGAAAATGTTTTTTAATATAAAAGAAGTAACAGAATGTTTACATGTTGATGGGAAAAATAAAATATACAGAAGAAAGTTTATATGAAGGAGACAGAGGTAGAGATACAGAGAGAAAAGGAGGGAGGCGGAGGGAGGGAAAGGGAGTCTGGGGAAGACGTGTTGCTGAAGTAATGCCTGTCAGTAGGCCAAAAGAGGATGGGGTTGTGTGCACACATTCGGGAGCTGGACTTAGACAGGAGCATGGAGAGTTCACCTCCAGTTACAGAAGAAAAAGTACACATAGGTGGGCATATGGGGTGAGGGAGCTTGTGAAAGATATGTTCTGTTTGTTTCTCTTTTCTCAGTGAAGTAGAAAACTCAGTTGTTAACTGAGGACGAGGAGAGGAGGGGTGAGAGATCTGAGCAGAGGAGAAGTAGTGGTAGTCTTCTAGGACAGTGGGATGAGTGTATGGGCCTGGGAAACACATGATGCCAGGTAGCACAAATGGCTCACTTGGAACTTAGGAGGAAACATGCTGAAGAGCAAGTTCTTCAAGGCAAGTGGAGTCTCCAAGAGTGAAACAAATTATGGAAAGGCTAAAACACAGGGGTTTTTAAAGGCTTAAAATGAAACTGTTCTTACCTCATGTGGGTCATACTGTTTGAGGCTCCCACCCTCATGAAATTCAGCCAAGACATCTTTTATCTTCTTGGAGGAATCTGAAGAGACACAATTCACATGTGAAACACTGGCAAACAGCTAATGGAAGCTGGGCCAAATAAATTCTCCCTGTGTAACCATGTTTATGTTGGAGCTGCCCCTCAGTCCCGGAAAATCTGGAGAAATGTCACCCTCTTCTACCCTTTGACCTCTCACTTCTTCTTTTGGGTCTGATTTCCCCCTTGCATCTAAATTATCTTTCTGAAACACAAATCTGATCAGATCGTATCCCTACTCAAAACCATTCAAGGGCTTTCTGTTTCCCCAGGATAAAGCTTACCATTCATAGCTTGGAAGATAAGCCCTTAACTTGGAATACAAGCCCTGGGTGATTTTATCTCCCCTATTCCTCATTTCCCTATTTACTCTATGTTTCAGACACATCAAGTTACATTTCCAGACATCCCTGAACATATTGTGCACTCTTTCACGGTGTTTCTTCTTTGTCTTGCAAATTTCACCCATTCTTCAATATCCAGCTCAAATGTCAACTCCTTTGTAAAGTCTTGCTTTGCACCAGTCAGAGTTAAGCATTCCCTTCATTGGTTCCCACATGACTTGTACACAACTATGTAATAGGGCTTGTGATATAGTGTTATAATTATTTATTAACTTGCCTATCTTGCTCATCTCCTGCTTCAGTTTTACCTTGAAAGCTGTTAACTGGCTGGTGAGTCTTTGTCTATCATACTGTCTGACGTGTAACTAGGGCTCAGAAAAACAATATGTAGATGAGTATATAAACAACTGAGTGAAAATTTCGAAACATTAAAAATTCATTAAGTATGTAGAATGGGTAGGCAGTAAACCCCATGAGGCTCTGTCCTTGGTGCTGAAAAACTGCTGTACACTGCAGGAAGAGTGTTTCTTCTACTTCTGGAATCTTGACACCTCTGTCCCTTTTTTTTTTTTTTTCCACCTGATTTTTATTTTTTATCTTGATGGATAAAACTGAGCTACTCATTCTGACACATAAAACATAACCTCAATTATGTCTCATAATTAGCATGGTTGGTTTTATGTTCCCACGGTATTTCTCACATATTTCTGACAGCCAGAAGACCTTCCTCTGAAAGTTGAGGCCTCCACCCTGCGCCATGATTCCCCCTTAATGTTCCCTCTATGTTGCATTTACATTGAAAGGGGATAAAGAAAGACTCAGAGAATCCATGAAGCACGGTGGTTTGGAAAATGCTGCTTTCCATAGGAAATCATTCAGAAGCAACTGGAGACAAGACTGGCTGCTTCTTTTTGGAATTTTATAAAGGAATTGGGAACCCAGAAAAGAGACTCAATAATTGTTATTAAAAACACATTATGAATTCATCTTGTGTAGTTGTCAGCACTCTAGACATCAAAGCAAACCAGGGTTTCTATGACCTGGGCTCTCCCTCTCTTCCAATGTTGTGGGTAATTAAGAGCTTTCCAAGCTCCGTTATTGTTGCTATTTAAACATCTGAGCCAAAGGACGCTGTTATTAAAAGCTCACACAGTGTTTTTTGTTGCCCAGGCTCTGTGTACAGAGGGTTAAGGTCTCTTAAGCCTAGGTAAAGCAGACTTATTCATAGGCTGGGCTGTTCTCCATGGCTTTGCTGACTTGGATTCAATCAAGCAGAAGTTCTAATCATTTCAGGATTGAGACATATTGAAATACAACAGGAAAATGCTTCTGTTGCCTAAAAATGGAAATTTCTTTCTGAAATTCAAAACAGATGTTGAAAATCTAATAGCTCAGTAAGAGCCAGGCAGCAGATGCTGTCAATTTGGGCTGCTTCCATTCAATTCAGCAAACACTATGGAGGGTAAGATGCGGCAAGATACTGTTAATGGACTAGTGGGAAAGATGATCTAAATAACTGTGGTACTAATAGCTGTCCCTCACTGGAGACCTTCACCTGCATAGTCTCATAAACTCTCCTCTACTAATCCATGGAAGTATTTTCTTCAGTTTACAGATGAAGAAGCTGAAATTCAGAAAAATTAATTCAACTTGCTCAAGAGCCAGAGTTGTAACTCAGGTCTAGTCTGGCTCAAAGTATATGGTCTTTTACCTTGAGCATTATTCACTATAGCTTCCTAACATTTGCTAATATAAAGAAAGGTATAATTAAGGGTGACACAATGATATGAAGTTCTATGAAACACCAAGTGGGGAAGAAGGAAAATTAAGATGAAAGTGGGATGGGGTGGGAACTGAGGCTGCCCTATAAAGGAGGTAGCACTTGAGCTGAGGCATAAAGAATTGGATAAGGTTTATAAAGGCAGGTATGAAGTGGAAAGGGTATTCTTGGAAGAGCCCAAGGGAGCAATAGTGCAGAGATGGGCACCACAGAACGTTTAGGACAAGTTAGAACCAGAGAGTCATTTGTGGCTGGATTTGTGGGGGGTCTTGAATGTAGAGTTAAGAACATTGATTTGAAATGGTTAAAGATTTTTTTGCGTGGTGAAATCTTATAACCAGCTCTCTGTTTTCTAAAGACCACTCTGGAAACAGGATAAAAGAGAAGTTAGAATGAGACCAGAGCTCAGTTAACATTACACATATATTCAAGTTATTCCACAAGCAGCTTAATTATTTAGGAAAACAAATCCTACGCATTAGAATTTATTTTAATGGGAGGTTTTTAACTCAGCTAAAATGTCTAAATTTAAAAAAATAAAAATTTGAGAACATGGGTACCCTTGGTGTGACTTCTGGAAGAAGAGTGTAGAGTTAGCATTTTGATTGAGAACCAATGGAGTAATTTCAATTGAATGTGTGATATTTTGATGTTCTCATCTCATTTTGGATATTACACCATTCATTGTAGCAGAATTCCTTTGATTCTAAAGTGCTGCTGCTCTATTTTCAAAATCCTGTTTTATATTTAAATATGTGATATATATACACACACATAAATTCATCATATGTTCACATAAAATAAACAGAGGTTTTAAAAAGAAAAAATAGAGAAGACATTTATTTTAAGATATCTGATTAATAGCTTGAAATTAAATAAATAAAGAAAGCACAACAACAAGCCAAGAGATTTCTAACTAGCTTTCCATGAGGTGGATTACTTGTCACATATTTACTTCAATTTGCTTTGTGGGCTTTCATAGGCTTATAGCATCAATACCCTTTAAAAAAGGGAATCAACCTAATTCTCAAATTTTGGACACATTGCTTTCTCCTTGGATGTCCTCATATAATTTATAACAGTTTTCTTCTTAATAGATTTCTGCGTTGGATTTCTTTTTCCATGAGGAGTAAGTAGATATTATGCATGACTAATCTACTTCAGTGACAGCTGCTTTATTCTGTTTCATCTTAAGACAGAAAAGAACAATGAGGAAATAGCATTCCTTGGTCTTATTTTAGGTGTCATCTGTGGGTCCAATAGCATAACCTCACAGAAAATTCCTCTGTCAAAGCCTTTACCATAATACCAGCACTAGATTCAGAGGACACCACGTTCCATTTCTGACTGTACAAAATAGGGCCATTTCTACAGCTCTTTGTAACAATTACCATTTTGTGGAGTGCTTGTGATATGCTAGATGCTGTCCTAGTCACCTTGCATATTTTATTTAAATCCCCACAACTACCCTCTAATGTAATAATTATCCTTATTGTAGAGAAGAAATTGAGGCTTATGGAATTTAAGTGATTCTTTCAAGGAGACTCGGCTCGTAAGTCACACTTTTTAAATATTTCTAAATAATGGGCCATGGTTATGAGATTCACTGGATACTTGAACACTGGCAAGTTAGCAGCCAGGACTCTTCCTCTATGAAAGTGGCTCTCAAGCCTGCCTGCATGTTGAAATCACCTAGAGAGTTCTATACACACTGTAACCCAAGTCTTACCCCAGGTGAATTAAGTCAGCATCTCTTGAGGAACCCAGGACACAGTAAAATTTAAAAGCTTCCTGGAATTCAGATGTACAGTCAAGGTTGAGGACTGCCATTCTAGGACATGATTTTATTGTTGTAAATGAGGACTGTCTTAAAAAGCCCCTGAACTTGAATACTTATTGCCAAGGGAATAAAAAGCTTATAACTGCTAAATTTAATATTGCTGTGCTTGGCAGACATTATCTATTGTTTAAGTGGACAACACCAAAGAACTCTACCCAACAGGTCAACTTGTTCAGCTGCTTGGCAAGGTAGAGGTATGTTTTGCGTTAACCTAGACTGTCAGGACTATCCACATGGAGTTCTATCCTAAATCGGGTGTTCAGAAAGTTTTTCTCTTTGATCAAGGTTACCAGTGCCCTAAGAAGTTTTCAGTCCAAAATTGTCTTGTATACTTTATGTGCCAAGAACTCTGGGACCTAAACCAAGCACTGTTCCTAGTGTTCAAGCAAATTCAAAGCCTTTTAAAGGGAAAAATTTGGCCCCACACACAGACACCTTTGTTGCCTTGTTGGTGTGGGACAGGGATGTGTTCCATCTGAACAAGCAGACAAATCAGAGACTTCAGTGTTTACAGCAGAATATGAGTTGTGCTGCCAGGACTAGACCCCAAAGTTTATAGTCTGTTGTCTAGTTAAGAACACAGAGTATTTGAGCATTAGATCATTAAACTGTTAAACTTTGAAAGAACTATAAATCAATATTTTCAAAAGTGAATCTGAAAATCCATATAAGAGAGTGGAATTCTAAGGTACATACATGATAACTCTCCATTCCTCAAAGTTCTCCATGAGCTTCTCAAACTGTAATGTGCATATGAGTCACATTGGGATCCGGTGAAAATGCAGATTCTGTAGGACTGGACCACAGCCTGAGATTCTACATTCTGAACAAGATCCTAAGTGACACCAATTTTGCAGGTTCATGGACCTCACTTGATATGCTCTAAGCAATGTGCCTGTGGATCTGGAGCTGACTGCTGAGGCTTGCCTGTCGCAACCCAGAAAAGACCACGATGCCGAGGACAAAGGAACATATTCCATGGAGTAGAAAGACCATAAGTGGTGGGCAGGGGGAGTCCCTGAGACGAGTGGAAGGGAAA